TTTGAACATTTTTCAGTGATTATTAATGTTTGAGATTGAGACACTTTACACAAATTTATTACTATTTGCAGTGAAGAGTGTCCTTCCACGTCAAACCAATGTTTGGTTTTTTTTGAAAGACATTAGTAAAAACATAAGGCAGGCATTATATAGTCTGCTGTATCCTACAGTTATTAGTGGCCTGTCACTGACTGTGGATTAGTTTTGCCTCTATAGACTAAATTATATGAATATAGAGGAACTTTCTGGGCAGAGACAGGCAATGTTTGGACTAGAAAACGAAAATATTGAGATTACACTGGTGAGAGAGATTACACATGAAAGTGGCCTCTCTTAGCTGACTTCACCCATTTTAAAATTACATTCCCCACCTGATGGCAAGAGGATTTATCACACTGTAAAATTGCCATCTGAAGGTAGTAAATTTCTTCCTGTGCATTTTAAAAAATGGTGGAAATGATGAATTTTTCTCTTAAGTGCCAGTAGAAGTTTAGGATGCGTGAAAAGGTGCCTTTTGTGAAGAAAATCTTATACATATACATATATATATATATATATATAAAATATTTAACAGAATTTGTAATGAGAAAAAATGGTAGCAAGGTAGAAGACAACATAATAAATTATTATAGACTTACTTGGCCTTACATTCAAAATAGAAAACTGTGAAAGTAAAATTTTTAACTACTGATTGAAAATCCTGTTCCTGCTTCATCACTCAAGGGAGAGACAGTATATTCCCGAAAGGCTTGTGTTGAATTTTTCATGTAGGTGAGAAATGCAAATAGCTTACAGCAATGTTCTCAGGAGCTCTTTATTCAAATTGTCAGTTCTGTGGCTCCTGGTTCTTCTTCCATTGGTTTTAGTTTTAATTATGAAGCTCTAATACTGAATGTGTATCTGTAGCTTACAGCAAACTATCCAGAGGAAAAACTGTGACAAGCAGCAACTGGTTTTCCATTTTTTTTTTTCTCCTTTGGGATGATGCTGATGGTGAGCAGCTTCTTTTCTTTTTTTTTTCCTTATGGTTTTCCCCTTCTTTCTGTGACTCAGAGAACTGATTATAGAGTAAATGTAGTTTTTTTCACACTGGTTTTATAACTGTCTAGTTGAAACTATGTCTTATTTGAAAACAGTCCTTATACTTTATAGGATTCCATGTAGCAGCGTGTTCTTACACTTGTTGGAAGCACCAGTGAACACTGTAGAAAGATAACTCATGAGTGGCTTATTGAAGTTCTGTGCAGATTGGGAAATCTTCACTGTTTTTGCCCCATATAAAGTCAGCCTGATAGTATTGACATTTTTTAGAAGCTTTAGAAGCTCTAGGAAATGAATGCTTCATTACCCCATCTCCTCTTTTCCTCCCTCTCCAAATTCAGGACTTCTTTCTTCATTTTGGAACTTCTGTCCACTAATAACTAATGTGAACATGAGCTAATCGAGTGAGGATAGCCATATATCATATAGCTCTGTGTTAGTGCAAATGTGGCAGATTCAGTTTAAATTTCTGTTAAAAGTATTCTTAAAGAAAAACCATGACAAAATAACATCAGTAAGCAAGATTATAAATGAAAGCTTGATTGCAAAAACATCTCCAAGGCCATGTAGAGATGATGTAGTTAAATATGTTTGGTATCTTACAAGTAGCACAAATACTGAAAAGATCTGGTTATTGTGATTTTTTTAAAATCTTAATTAAAAATGCGGGGTAGTAGGGAAAGTTATTTTCTGTATTTAAAATAGCTACTTAATTTTGCAGAAGTAGTTCAGAAGAGAAGACAAGTAACTCTTTGGATTAAGCAATGACTCATTTTAAGGCTGTTGGAATGGAAGACTTTGTTATTAAGAATAAAAATAATGCTTGTATATTGAGCAAGAATGAACTTTCTGAGAAATCGTTTATAAGTTATAAAATTGTTTGTTAAAAGATGCTGAGAATTTGGACATTTATTCTGTAGATATAATTCTGTGTCTTTCATTTAGAAGAATTTAGTCTTGCTTTTGCTATGGACATTTGTTTAGTAAGGGACCCTCTTATAGTTAACCTCTTATAGTTAACCTAATGCTGCTGGAGTAAGCTTTTTCAGCTTGAATCTGTAATTTGGAAATGACCAGTGATTAGTAAACTTAGATGATAACTGTAGTGATTATCCTCAATATGTTAGCTGCAAGAATTAAATGACTAATTATATATGTATCTGCCACCACTTTTAATAACTGTGGATGTCATAGAGCATAGCATCAGTACTGCTGCTCTGTGGCAGTAAAATCAACCCTTGAAGCAATGAAAATTTAATTCTTTGTCAGGTAGAATCCCCCCCTTTGTGTGTTCTGACACTGAATGCATTTGAAACTGATGCGGACATCTGTTTGCTAAAAATTTAATTAGTACCACTGTTCTATTTCAGCCAAGTGAGATATCTAAATCTAAGAATTAAGGAAGAATCCTACCTTTACAAATAAACTGAGAAAAGGTCATACCAACACTACGCCCTTAAATTTTCAGTGTTTGTGAGTAAGACTGGTTCTACTCATTCTTTCTGGTCTTGACCAGACAGTGACAGTTTATACACAGTTGTCAACTGAATTAGGCAAACCATATGTACTCCCACCACCCTCCTGTTTGTGGGTGTCCGTGTACAGGAACAGAACTGGGTGCTTTCTCTGCTTGGCATCCCTCAACAGCGTGGATCCAAAAGATGCAACTGGCTGCAGAACTGTTTTGCCAGTCAACAAGTACCACCCACATTTCTAACTAGCAGATGGTGAGGCAAGCCTGTAGAGCATGGTGAGGGATTTCACTACATCTCTTAAAAGTAAATAAATAATATTTGAAAATCCTATTAAAACAATCTAAATTTCAGTATGAATTAGCCATGAAAGTATAGCATCATGTAAGTATAGGATATTTACTGTAAAGCTTTCATGGTCACCTTAAATAAATATTACTTTACTAATTTAAAGTATTTCTTAAACATGAGACAGTATTTATTTTTTATGGTGTTGGTCATCCTAATGCTCTAAATATCAGAGCCTTCTGACTAAGACATTTGTTCTGGAAGAAAAGATCTAATAGTACTCTGCTGCAAGTCCTCCTTTTGATTAAAAAGAAGGAAAAAGAAAAAGGCATTAGATGTGCATTTAGAACACGAAATCTTTCAGCATGAATAAACAGAACAAATTAATTCATTAACTTCCAGCTCTTGTGCATTTTCGTGAAACCATGCTGAAACTACAACTTTGTCAGCATTGTATTCTTTCTCTGATTTCCAAATAATAATATTATTTTTTGAAGTGTTTTTGCTCTGGACATCAAGCAAGGTTCTTTGTTGTTCATAAATACAAGATTCTGTAGGCCAGGTAATGGGTGCTTCTGTTTTTCTCTTGATTATATTCAACTTATTCTTTCTGTGAGTACTGTGTGGCATTTTGCATAGTTACATAGATTTGGCTTGAATAATCTCTATTTGGTATTTTAATATAATTTAGTCCTTTAAAAATAGTAAATTTTAACTTGATCTCTATGCATGAAAATTATCACTAGAATGAAGGACTGAAATTCAAGTCAGATTTATTTTTTCTGAATAGGAGCATGCTTAGAACTTCACAAAGGCGGGGACTTTGCCTTATTGAGCTCACCATCTATATAAGTTGCTATACTGATGTTTGCTCTCATAGACACAAAGTCATGAGTTAGTGTCACAGTGTGATTACAGAGATGCTATTATGTTCTAACTCCATATTCAATATCCTGTATTCCACTCTACTGTTATGTAACAACAGCAGAAGATTCAAGGAAAATTGCTAATTAGGTTTCACTCAGGAGTCTGTATCTCAATTGATCAATTTTATCAGAAGTGTGTGACCTGTCAGTTTCTCTCACCTTCCTGCACTGTGACCTCTGTTCTGCCTTTCTATTCTGTTAAGTTCATTTAATTTTTTTAAAAATCTGTTTTCTGCATTTTATACATAGCAGCAGGACACCTTCTAACATCATTAACTGAATTTACACAGTACCTCTCAGCTCCAAAATAAGGCATTTTACCAAAGATGTCAGTGGTATAATTGTGAAGTTGATATAGTGGTTCCAAATTCTAAGCTGAAGGGGGTAACGTAAAGTAGGTTTTCAAGTTGATTTTCAGATGAAAGAAGTCATGTAGTTTTTTTATCTCTGAATTTTAGAGAATTACAGAGAGAAAATACTAAGTGAAAAAAAACCCCACATCCTGTGATATGGCTCTTACGGCTAAGACTTGACCTCCAACATCAGAATAAACCTACTAGTATAAATTATTATCATTCAGGTTCATGGAAAGTACTGAGGAAATTGAAAGAAGGAAGTGGAGTCTGCTATGTACTGAGTCAAAACTGAAATTGCTACCTTCTTCCATTTGCTTTTAATGGATCTTTATAATGTTTTTTTGTATTGTCATCTGTCTGGCTGCCGAGTGTCCATGCTGCATCCTCACAGGGAATTTACTGCATTTACAGTAGTTTTAAGAGGATGAAAATGATACAATGAGTAAAGTTTATTGACTTACATTAATAGCAAAACTGTATCCATTAGCATTCTAAATATGGGAGTTGAATTCAAATCTTTTAGATATCTGAATTACAAGAGCATCTGATGTACTTATCTATTCTCTAGTTCATTTTATTGAAATACCATCACTGTAAACAAGTTCTAAATGCTGTAGTTCATTTGTATCCATTAAGTGCAAAGACATAAAATGAGTAGAAAGGACAAGTGAACAACATAAAAACCACTAGTGTTGTGAGAAGAACTTCAGAACTTCAGTTGAAAAACTATTAATTGTATTTCCTCTTAAAGAATTTGGCTGGTAAAGGAATTAAATGCAACCTTTTGAATGTAATTGTGTATGCTCTGAAATTATGTTGTAGTGACTAAAAAAATATTAGGTGGGGTTTTTAAGAAAATAAGCCTAGTTCTAGGTGAATTCATTCCATGCTTGTGACTTGCATTGCTTTCTACTTAGTCCTGAAGTTGTAAAGAGAGAGAAGGCTGGAGAGGAGGATGATGTCTTGGCTGTAAGATGCATCCTTTATCAGATGGCAACTCTGAACCCACCGTTTTACAGCACCAATATGCTCTCCTTGGCAACTAAGGTATTCAGATTTGCCAGATCAATGTACCAGTTATTTCTGCACGATCCATGGGAATTTGTTTAAGGTTATAGATGCGCAAAATGCTCTCAGTTTTAATGTGTAAAGGAGCACAAGTGTTTATCATTGTGTGAATTGCTATCTTGCCATTCTAATTGCAAAAATTGCTTGTAAATGTTAATATGCTATTACCTCTCAGACTGGCATATTTTACTTGTTGCATTTGAGGATAGGAGCTTCAGATATATTGGCGTACTATAGTATTGGGTTTTCTACAGCATTTTATATTACATCTTCAGAAGATTTCATAAATTAAAATAAATAATTGGGGGGTTGTGTTTATTGTTTCCTTGAGTTTGATATTGTAGCACTTCAGTCTGCAGTGATTATATACATTAATGTGGATACCTGATTGGAAGTGATATTCTGCGTTAGAAGATGTGTTCTAAGTTGTTTTGCAACTTAGAGCTGATGATGTGATGCCTATCAGGTTCTTTCAAGACACAATATTTATCATATGGGATCTTGAAATAAATAATGGAGTGTTTTTCTTCAACAAAGCATAGATTATTTATTTTTCAGATAGTAGGGGCTATATAAGAACCTGTGCCAGAAGGACTGTACTCTGAAAAAGTGTCGTTTACCATTAAGAGGTAATTACTCATTTTATTTCGACATCCTTCTGAAAAGATGTTTTTGTTTTGTATGCTTCCAGCAGAGATAATTTGACAGTTTGCAGACTTAAGCAACTGGCAGTATTTGTCTCTGAAAAGGAAATATCTTTAGATTTAAAGAAAAACAGAGGTATCTCCTTATCCTGATAATAGCATGTACAATACAACTGCACACATGCAACAGGAAAACTCATACCAGTATAGTCAACACATTCATTTAGCCAGTATACACTTTAAATTTTTAAATTTAACAATATCAGTGCTGTAGTTAATTTCCTACACATCAATTTTTCCCCATGAAAATACAGCATTTTGAGTAATATTCAAATTCAGATTATGGTCAAGGAAGTAACTCTGTTACACTGTGTTATTTATAGATCGCTGCGTGATCACATTCATAGTTTTTTCTGTTTATTTGACTGATGGAAATATGGTTTTTTATTTGACTGATGGAAATATGTTTTCCACTACCTTTTAATCCTGTTAGCATGATAGCAGAGATAACAAAGCAGAGAGAATGCAGTAATGGAGGAAAAGATGAGCCTATATTTGTTCCACTCACTTATCACGTATTTCTCTTAGCTATGTTTATATTTTTCTGGTGATAATGTCATGTGTAAGGCAAAGCATAGAGTGAAGTGAAGATTTAGCTCCCTTCATTTTTCCATTTTAGAAAAAAACCCACTTAGCACAAAAATGCTTATACTTTGTCACTCAGATATTCAATTCCATCTCTAAAAAAGCACTTTACTGTACAAAGACTAAGGGTTTTATACTATGTTTTATTGTACAAAAAGGTTTCTATTATTTAAAGACCTTGAGAATGAAGGACAGCAATGGAGAATGTAGGCACTAATAGAACTGAAATTTACCTTTAAAGATTTGAAAATTAATTTTAATGAAAAGATTAAAATTTTTACATTATGTAATAATTTTTTCTACATATTTTAATAGCATGAGAAATGTAAAGTGTTTTGTTTTATTTTTAATATTATATATTACTATGGGTTAATTCTTAAATTAAGACTGTTTAGATTTTTTGCTTATACTTTCTGAGATATTTAGAAAGAATGAAGAACATTGAAGAAAAGTAGTAATAATGAGATTTTAGTTGATGAGGAAGAATTAACAGGAAAGGCGTTATTTTTGAATGACTTGAATGAAGCACAGCACATATTCAAAGATGAATGTCAGAAAAATAATTTATTGATAATGATTAGAAAAAACATTGAAAACTTAATGTTGGAACTGTAAATTTGCATTGTGTTATTCTTCTTCTTCAGTATTGTTACTAAAATACATTTTTGTTGGATTAAACTACTAAAGAAAGTTCTGGAATCATAATCACCAAAGTTTTTCAGGGCTGAACATCAGTCTACTTGGTGTTTATTTGTAAATGATTTCTTGATGCATGGAAAATGGAAATAGAACTCATCAGAAATCTTTTATAGCTCACATTGTTCTTGGAAATTTTGACCAATTTCAGTGGACTAAAAAAAATAAATTGAAAAACCCCGAACAAGAATATTTCTTAAGGGTGAAAAACTTGCACCTGTTCTAAAGCAATATAATATTTCAAGTAAAACAGATTTTAAAAGTTATGAGAATTATTAAAATTAATGTATTTGAGAAAATTTAAACAAAAAAGATTAAAATCAAGTGGTTCAAGGATTGTAAAATATTTTCGGAACTGCTACTTTACATGACAGTTGTGTTTTACTTAGAACTGTTTTAGAAATAACAAATCATTCTGTGGCTTTTTTTTAAAGAAAAGTGTTGGGTTATGTGTGCTAGCAGGTCATTAGTACTCTGCAGGGAAATCGTAGTAAATTACCAGGTTCAGTGGAGTTAAGATTTAAGAGTTTATAGTGCATGCAGAACTGTCCCTATCAGCTTTTCTGTCCTACGCTGCATACAAAATATTCTGGGGATTTAAAAATAGACCTAATAGTATATTATTACAGATACTAAACTGCTACCTAGGGTGCCTGAAACAAGAACCACAGAACTGTAAAGTAATTTAGATTGGAAGGGACCCCTGGAGGTCGTCTAGTCCATTTGCTTAATGCAGATACAGTTAGATGTGGTTGCTCACTGCTCAGGGTGTTGTCTGAGATTTGAATATTGAGGGCTGGAGATCCCACAACTTCTTGAACCCTCTTTGGTGGTTATCTTCCTCTGTGATTAAAAGTAGTAGTAGTAGTAGTAATAATTATATCTAGCCAGACTTCCCTGTGTTCCAAGTTATGTATATTACCCCTTGCTCTACCGCTGTGCACCTCTGAGAAGGATCTGACTTCCTCTTTTCCGTGTCCTCCCATTATGCAAGCAGCAATTAGACCTTTGTATGGATGTTCCACATCCCTCTGACAACAGCCCTGCCCCATGTATCAACTGATCCCTGCAATTCAGTGTTCACAAACCTTTTGAGAATGCACTCCATCCCATCATCTAGGTTGTTAATAAAGATGTTAAATAGTACTGACCAAATATCAATGCTTGGAGGATGCTACTGCCAGCCACCAGCTGAAATCTGATGACATCTCTTTGAGCCAGGAGGTTCAGCCAATTATCTACCTTATAGTCCTTTGGATACTGTGGGATATTGTGTCAAAAGCCTTGCTAAAATAAAGCTACCCACAGCATCTACTGCTCTCTCCTTTTCCACAGAGCCAGTAATCTCATTTTAGACACCAATCAGCTTAGTCAGGTATAACAGCTGTTTGGTTAATCCATCCTTACTGTTTCCAGTCACCTTCTTGCCCTTTTTGTGCTTGAAAATTTTCCAGAGGAAATTACTCTATTATGTTTCCACAGATGAGGTTGAAGCTGACTGGCTATCAGTGTCCTGGATTTTCCCTCTTCTTATTCTTGAATATGTGTGTGATATTCAACTTTTACCAATCTGCAGAAACCTACTTTTGATCCTTTTAGACATGATGGATAGTGACATTGACCAATTGCATCAGCACCCTCAAACCCTTCTCATCTGGTCCTATGGGCTTGTGTCTGTCCAACTGGCTTAAATGCTTTCTCACTGTATTTTCTGCTGCATGGCAATGCTTCATGCTCATGGATTCTACAGGTAGACTCAGAGATCTGGAACACTTATGGCCAAAGTATCTCAATGGAAATGGAAGGAAATAAGGGACCTACACTTCTCCATGTTTTGTCACTAGGTCGTATAGTGGGGCCACATTTTCCTTAGCCTTTCTTTTGTTGGCTTTTTTTCTGCCTTCCACATCCATTGCTAATTTCAACTTCAGCTGAGCTTTGGCTTTCCTAACTCCAGCCTTTGGGCAATATCTGTATTCTTCCTGTGTAGCCCACCTCTGTTTCCTACATGCAGAATTGGGCTGTTATAGTGCTTTGAGATGTCCCTGGAGATTAGCTTGCTCTCCCAAGCTTTCCCTTTACTTTCCAGGGCAGTCTTCTATGAGATTCTACCAGGAAGATCCCTGAACAGGCTGAATTCTACTCTCCTGAAGTCCAATGGTTGTTGTAGCCAAGGCTGTCCTTGATCTTCACATCCTAGTCTGGTTCTTCCTTGTCTGTGAGCAACAGATCTGGCAGAGTGCCTTTGCTAGTTAGCTTTTGAATCAGCTTCACCAAGAAATTGTCATCAGCAGATTCCAGAAGTCTACTAATGGCTGCAGTCAACCATATTATCCCATCTGCAGATATCAGGGTGGTTAACAGGCCCCAATGAGTATGAGTGTCTAAGATCACAAAGCTTCCTCCATCTGTCCCACAAAGGCTTCACTCACTTCCTCTTTGGTTTTGTGTGGTTTACAGCAGGTGTCTACCGCAGTGTCACCCATGTTGGTCTGTTCCTCTGATCCTCACTCATAAGTTTTTGAGTATACACAGTCAGGTGTTGGACTGCAGGTTGCACCCACCCTGACCTGAGCCTTTCCTCCTCACTGATAGAATTGAGGAGAACACCATCTCTGTCCAGTGCCCTTCACACTTGATCCCAGTGCAACTGCACTTTCAATGTGTTCAGAGTTGATCCTGATGGTGCTATTTATACCCATATGAATGGACAGCAAGAAGTAATAGCCCAAGGGTTAGGATGATTCAGTAGTGTCTCCACAGTGTCCTGAATCCAAGCAACAGACATCAAATCAGATCAAGTAGTTGGATGTTTCTGTTCCTCAGCCTCAAATGACTGTCAGCTATTGCACCTTATTTGTGATGTGAACTCTTGATTCAGACTTACCTGGCTCTGGTGTCCTCCATTAGGTCTTACTCTTCCTCACCTGTTGGTAGGTTGCTATACCTGTTCTGTAATTATGTATCTGTAGTCAGAGGAAAAGCCTCCCTTCTCTTGGCAGAAGTCACAGGTGTCCAACCTAGCTCCTCTTGGGAGCCTCCATCCACTGCTTCTTTGAGGGTAAGCTCTAGATTTTCCTCCTTCTTCGCATTGTTTTGGGAGTGTTGTTTGTCTCTGCAAAGTCTCTGTGAGGATCGTTCCTCATTACAGGAGCATTCTCCTGTAAGTCCTCCTGACAACACACTCCTCTCCTTCACAGGTGGTTTGTTCAGTGGTACAGCACCTTGACCAGAGCACAGTCGCCACAAGGGAGGCAATATCACCCCCAGTCCCAGGAATAGGCCCTGGGCACTCCCTAGTGTGTCTGGGGGTGCACAGCTGCAGCCTCTAGTTGCAGTTATGTCTGGATTGGTGCCAAGGATAATTGTTCCAGCTGATACCAGGGACTGTGCTGTGGTATTTCAACAACAAGGCTGCACAGCATCAAACTGTCCCATGCGGAATGAGCAGGGCACTGGCCAGCATGACTCCATAAATACCAGTGGAGAAATGCAGTGGTGAAAAATGTTTTTTTTTGTTTTTTTTTTTTTAGAAACAAGTAAATAGAGAATATTCTTTCTGTAGCTGTTTGACTCTTGATCCAGAGGTACATCCAGACATAGTGGAGGTCAGCTCACTGCTGTCTGATGTTATGATGAAATACCTGGATGTTCTACCCACCTCTCATCTCATGTTGGAGAAGAAACTGGATCGGGAGAGGAGGTGAACCCAGCAGTACTTCATGGAGGCTGATCCAAATGCAGTAACCTATCACCACCAACTTTCCATTTTATTACAAGTAAGTTCATCTATTAGACTTTATTTTTTCTTATCATTGTTTGCCATATCTGAGAAAATAACAAAGCAGAAAGTAAATCAAAATGAACAGACTTATCCTCTTGTAACATTTTTCTGTGCAGGCTCTTTAATTTATTTTTAACAAGGTATTCATTTTTTTTTTTTTTTTTGCACATGCTTATGCAGGGAAAATGACAGTATCTTAAAAACCGGTGTCATTCCATGTTGGAAAATGGCATTGTTATGGAGGTTCTTGCAGTTTTGATTATATCTGATAACGTTTAATTATTACTGCACACTTTTGAATGATTTGTGAATAGGAGAATATACACTTGGTTAGGGTGGAACAAATTGATAATCTCGTGTATGATTCATAAACAATGACACCTAGAAAATGGAACCTAGACAAATGTAATTTTTAATTACAGATTGCTAAATACAAACCCGTGATGCTGATAAGGTATTTGCTCATGTTTTCTAACTGCCTGATACACTTCTGCAGAAATACTTCTTGCAGTTCTTCCATTTGCTTCAGGCTGTGTTTTAAGCACCCTTCGTGAAGGACATCAGTGTTTTACATAATGAACCAAACTTCAGAGATATATGTATATGTGAGATTCAGTATATGATCTCAGAGAATTTATTTAGAAAATAGAAGGATAATGTTTCTGTGTAGCAAAAGCGCACTGTGAAAATTATTGTTATGGTAATTGCAAAGCAAAGTTATAATTTACACAGCCACTCTTGTCTGTTCAGAAGTTGAATCTTTTAGATTCCTTTTATTAGAGTTTAGTAGTTTGCACTGAAGAAATTCTGTGTAGGAGAAACATTTTCAGGAACACAGTTTGGTCCCAAACTCCATGGTCTTTATGTTCCTGGCCAAACGTAGCACTTGTAGAAATCGTTAATATTTTTTTTCAGTAGTTTTTTGACCTCTCAGTCTAAGATCGTTATTTTTATTATACCCTTTTTTTTTCCAAGGAAAGAATGCCAAAAATTTACAGAAAACTTTAACAAACTACTTTCTTTTGTAATGTAAGAGGTATTGGGATACAAGAAAGATACAGAATAGGATTTTTAATTTAAAACAGTAAAAGAAATTTTTTCCTTTTTTTTTTTTTTTATTTTCTTACCCTACACATTCGAAGCTTGTTGTATTTCATTATTTTTTCATATCTTGATATAGTGATTCTCTTGCATAACTGTGATGAAATTTGCAAAAAAATGTGCTATAGATTGAAAGATGCTAGATTTGGGATTTACATTCAATTATTTTGTCTTTAGAGAAGAGTCTCTTATCCAGACATTTTTAAGATATGATAGAACTGATAGTTTTTCACAGAAGGTTAGAGTACTTCTGTTTTGTATAAATACTTGGAAAATGCACCTGTCTACAAACAGAGAAGAAAAATGCCTCTGTCTTTTAGGGGATAATGGCTAATCTTCTTGAGGAAGAAATACTGTAGTTCTAATTCGACTCCAGTAGGTATTTTATTATGTATATTAAAGGAACATGAGGTTCTGACAAGGATCCAGAACACTGAAGAACCTGAGGGGAATATAGCTTAATACTGACAAGTGGGAGACCTAATTGTGTGTCCTTGCTATAAATAAGATAAAATAAACAGACTAGGATCTTTCAAATTTCAGGGGAGTGTTGCAGAGCTTAGAAGGAGTCATGTTGTTTATTTCTTCCTAGTACTTTGGAAAATTTATTAAGTTGGAGAATTTCTAACAATGAGAATAATTTTTCCTGAAAAGTTTGTCTTTTGAAAAAAATAGGCAATATTCTGACTAAAAGTGCTAGGAGCAGCTGCTCCTGAAATAAAAACTCTGTGAGGTATAGACAGCCTAATTCATCTTAGTCAAGGCCCCAGCTATTCCACAGCCAAGTAATTTGTCATTTTTCCATGGTGTCAGAGAATTCGGTGTTTCTGCCATGTAGTTCACTGTTTTGTTGAAGCCAACTATCTTATACTTTGTTTTCTCTACTAAAATGTACTTATGGCCTCCTTTTTCATCCCGGTTGTGTCATATTGTAAATGTTCCTGAAATAAGGACTGTACTCTCTGTCCTGCTTTATGGAGCTAAGCAACAGAGATCTTTTGGAGCCAGAGTGGAATCTGTTTTATAAGTATTGTAAGACTAGTTTGGAAACAGGTAAGTAGGCAGGTCGATTGATGATGTTTAAGTATAGTTATCTTGTGTGATAAGTACAGCATAAAATCCATGCTTGAAAATAATCTCAAAACAGTAGTTGATCTAACCAACAAATTATCTTTCCAGTGTTTTCCCTTAAAGAAATTACTGTGTAGCCAAATAGTAATTTGATTTCTTTTTTGAAGTATATAGATTAGAAAAATTTGTTTGGTCTGTTTAGTATAAGGTGAAATAACGAACTTTTTATTACTTTGGAAATATGTGTTTCCTGACATGGGTATCATCCATGATTGTTTCATCTACTGCAAATATCCTGAAGTGTTTTTAACCGTTTTCCCATTTCCCCATTTTTAATGTAAAATATAAATATACCTAAAACAATATAGAATGATGAATGTTCAGATCTTTCCTGTCTTTTGAATGTGGTAGAGAAAAATCTAAGTTTTATAATTGGAGTCTGTCAGCTAAAAATATATAACAGAGTATGAGCCATTTGTACCTTCTGCTACTCTCAGAGAATATATTAAAAATGGGCAGACATGATAGACTACCTGTCTGATCAAAGCAACTTCCTTTTCTTAGTTTCTGTAGTTCTGATTCATGCATGTGGCACACATATTCTGTTACATTTTTTTTTTTCCTATGCCAGGTAATACCGTGTTCTTTGGGAATTTAAACCTATTTTAATTTTTGTATTAATAATGTCACTAAATATTAATTTCATTTAAAAATGAATATATGCAAATCCACATATTCATATCAAGTTCCCAGTTACGCAGAGTAATGGGAAACTAAGATGCATAGGTAATGGGAAAAGTAAGTCCAACTTCTTTTTCTGAGTGTAATCTGATCTATAGAGTGGCTTCACATTCCAGGTTAGTCAGGGCTAAGAGTGTCAAAAGTCATTAACAGTGCTTGGTCTGACCTGGTCCATTAGGTAGCCCTTAGCTGAGTGCTTTGTCCTAATGTTAAGTGCACAAGAACACTTATTAGCCAGGCTGTGTCGCGGTCGAGGCAGGAAGCGACATGGGTTTCAGGATACCAGCTTTTTTATTGCAACAGTGCAGCTACCTTTATACAGTTCTGGGGTGACACATGTACACACTGCATTGGTTTACCACTTCATAACAACTTATGATTGGACATACAGCCACATGTCCTAACACCATAGGCTGACATTCTAACAGGAAACCCACTCTGTGTTACAAGTCCTACTGTCCCTGGTTAACCCTCTGCCAGGTGTAAGAAGTTCCATCTGTGGTATCTCAGCTTACTGAGAGCCCAGAACCAGCTGGGCTCCCCAACAAGGCTGCTCTCTGCATTTTTTTGTTTTCCCACTTGAACGGGTAAGTCTTCCCCTAACCCAGTATGCAGGGGGGCATGGCTTACGGACCATGGTGAGCCATCTTCCATCTAGATTGCATTTTTAGCTACAGGTCAGCACTGGCCCTCCCAGGCTACATCTGTAGGTATCAAGGTGCTGTGCTCCTAGTGGACTAGGATGCTGCTGCTGGAAAACACACTGATTATTCTGTTTGCCGGCAGCCTGGCCTACGCTAAGAAGCCTGCCTGCCTCTCTGCTGCAGAATCTGGTCAACTACTTACTGGTCAGATAATGTGAAAGAAACAGCATGGCTGTTTTCTAACAGGACTATATCTAAATGACTAAATCTAAACTATGGAGCCTGGCCAGACCTGAAATGGGTGATGGGGGTTTCCTGGCTTCTGTCTGTGACATAAACCTTAATAATCTACTTCTAGATGATTATGAGTTGATCGTATTGTGTCTTTTCTCGATTGGTTTAGAAACATGAACGAGTCTTGAGAAATGCTGGGATTTCTTTCTATGCCCCTTCTATCACAAATAATGTAATGTAAGTAAATGCGAAGCGTTTTGTAGTAATCCTGTAAATACAGAGCATGCTACTGTTACCATTCTTCTTCATCCATAGGAATGGGTTTATCTTTTTCTTCATCCACAGGGATCTGTGACCAAAGGGGGAAGGGTTAAAGATCATGATTTAAGAATCTGTACTTTTGTAACCACCCTGCAGGCTATTGGCAACTCTTTTAATTCACAGCAGCCATCGATTTCCTCACAAGAAAGAGGACAGGATTGCAGCTACCTGAAAGACAAAGAAACACAAAATGATTTAACTGCTTTTTCACCAAGTCATTTCCCCCCATACCCAAATTCAGTTCTGCTCTGTTGGCAATTGTTGTGCTAATAATCATGTTAGTTTCTGAGCATCACCACATGCATTACAAAGTAGTACTTAATTAGCAATTCAATTTGAATTAATCAAGTTTTTTTGTTAACTCAGAAAAAGACATAAAGATTGGATTAATGCTCATTTTAATTTCCTTTTTCTTTGTGTTTAGGAATAGATTTTCTGCAATTCAGCCTTTCGGTGCATAAAGGAGTTTTTTTTTCTTAAAACAGCTGAGTGTGTGCGCAGCAACTGCTTTTGTGTCGGTTGAAGCAATGACTGTTCTTGGTTTTAGAACACTTTGAAGGCAACAGGTTATTAATATTGCAAAAACAGAGTCCCATATTTATGTTAGATTAGAATATTAAAATATATATTTTAAATTTATTATTACAATGTATTAAAATTTTATTTAAAAACTGGGTGATAATGACTGTGCACTGCTGCATACAATTCCCTTTAGAATGTGTGAGGACTCGGAAATGTCATGAAGACTTAACATTCCACAAATTCTTTTCTTCTTCCACCTTTCACTCCACTGACACCATTCTGTTTTGACATTTATGTAGCAGGTACTAGATTTAAAGTTTAAATGTTAGAAATGTTGGCGTGATAAAAAGGAAGTAACCTTTTTAGATTTATACTGTGTATGTTTGGAGAATAAAGTAATGATATAAAAACTGTTTTGCAGGTATATTTTTTTCCAGTGTTGCTGAATGTAGAAAGTAGTCATCACAGCCAAATTACTACCTGTGAAAATGAATGATCAGACTCTTAAGGACAAACCCATAATGTGTTTAATTTGGCTTCAATTTGTTAATACATCAAAATACTTTAATAGAATTACAGGGTACAAGGCAGGAAGAGTTGTCAGAGATTATCTTGTCCTTCTCCAAGCTTTAGAGCTACCTGTCACTCCTGACAGGTATTTGACCAGTGAGTCATAAAAAAGTCACATGATAGAAACAGTTTAGAAACAGCAGAGATGCATAAACTGTCTTTACAGTCAGCAGTGACATCTAATTGAGTCTTTCTTTCCATTTGAAGATAACATCTAGGAAATGATGAGGATGCCTGAAGCATCCTGGGCATACCCATAGCACATATAACTGTGCTATATACAGTATCTAAAATTAGTCCAATGCGTGCAGAAAATTTTGGTCCTACTTTTTATACTTGACAGAGTAGATGTGATATGCATGTCTTGTTTCTAGGAGATACTAGATGGATATATGCATATGCATGTATGGGATGTATATGACACTTGAAATTTTTGGACTCCATCTCAAGTGCCATAAAAGCACTGTGAGAGCACTAAGTCCAGAATATACCAAGAACATTGCATTTACTGAGTGCATTCAAACCAGTTACATTGTGTATGAACACTGTTTCTCTCTGTAGGCTCCCAAATAGATGCAATAGTTGAACACTTGATTACTGAAATTGTCCTCCTGACAGTGGACATTTATAAAAGTTATGTCTTTTCTCTTATATGTTGGTTCCCCTCTCTGTGATTTTTGTTATTTTTTCTTTTTAATATGGACTGAATAATAAAACGTGGAGAGACAGGAAAAGAAAGAAATGAGAACAATCAGAGGTCTGCAAAACATGACTTAAAAGATGAGATTGACATAATTTTAAGTGTAGTGTTCAAAATTGTACCTAATTACTCCAACTGAGAATCTTATTGGTATCAAGTAGAAAGAATGCACAATTCTTCAGAATCATTTTCTTCTTTATACATCCCAGTATGATGTTCACTTTTTTATAACAGCATTATGTTGGGTCATATTCTGTTTCTGATCCATCAAAATCCCCGTATCTTCTCCTGCAGAGCTTCAGTCCGACCAGTCCTTCCCCAGTCTCTGCGTTTGTACAGTTGTTTCCCCTTGCTCACAGAACTTTGGTTTCTCTCTGTTTAAACTTCCTGAGTTCTTTTAGTTTCTCCAGTTTCTCAAAACTTTCTTTGACACCCGTTGTCAGTGTCATTGACACAACTCCGTGCATGATGTATGTGCTGCAGTATGATATATGATGTGACTGTATCGCAGTCGAGGCACCTTTAACAGGCGCTCTGTCCATCCATTATGCAGATTATCATTGTAATTCAGTGACACCATTGAGTGGTTTTGGAACAAGGTCAAAAAGGATCCTGAAAGATTGTGCTCGCTACCCATTTTCAGTATAACAAACACTTGAAGCAGTTACCAAGTCGAGTACAGTTTTTATGGTCAATTATACAGCCAACTGATCGTGATTTTGTCTAGGTCACACTTCTCTAGCTTTCTTGTAAGATGTCATGAAAAACCTTGTCAAAAGCCTTGCTAAAACCCTTATATATAACATCTGCTTCTTGTTCCTAATCCGTAAGAGCTCTTGAAAAAAAGAAGAGCTCTTACTGAAAAAAACACATGGTTTGAGCATGTTTTTTCCCCTGACAATTTCATGTCAGCTACTATTCATTTTAGTGCTAACTTGTAGGTTTTTACAAATAGTTTAATAGTGGAAATAGTTTTGTTTTTTTTTCTTGAAATAGAAATTCAACTGACTAGCATAATACTGTGATTGCAAATGTCTCAAATAAAGAAGATTAATTAAACACTGTTTGCAAATGCCACTAGAGAACTCTGTATTTCTTGAAGACAGAAAAGTTAATTCTTTTGGACAGTAATATGACAAAACAGAGCTAAACAAAATATAGATATCTTTATTTTAGTTAAACCGACTTGGGCTTTTTTAGATTTTTTAAATTTCTGCTGGAAGTCAAAAAGAGCAATTTAGGCTTCACTTGTCCAAAAGTTAAATATAACTTGATTTTACAATAGTAATGGTGACCAATGAAGAGACAAGTGTACAGGATATGGATGAAGATAGAATTTTTTCTGTCTGGGACACAAGTTTCCAGAGATGCTTTTGCTCAGTAATAAAGACAGATGAGTGCTGGGAAAAAAATTAGTTGGTTCATTATTTGAACATTTTTTTGCAGAGTGACTTTTTTCCCCTTAGCTTTTGTTTTCAATTGTGTTTTGTCTGTACGAGAAGGCAGAGTTTTTTTCAACAAAGATGGTGATCAATCTGATGTATGGGGAAACTGAGGCCCTAGTTTATTGTGAAAATGTGAAAATAAACAGGATCAACTGATGGAACCTCCCCAAGAATTTGTAAAATTCTGGAACACTACAATCAAGTGTAGATATGAGCACAGTTCAAGTGAATATGTCTCAACCTAACTCCTGTTTGAATGTTTGTGATGTTTTGAATATGCCACTGTTCCACAGATTTCAAAAGATAATTCTCTGTCTTTCTGCTTATCTGAAAGAAGTATCTCTGAGACTTCGAGGCATATGAAAATGGTTGTTTCAATGTGTTGGAGAAAAGTTTCTCCATCATCTTCTCATAAAATAATGTCCATATGTAGATCCTTATGTTCCCCCTCCAGTGGTGAGCAAAAGCGTTGAACTTGCATCCCAGCCTCCTCTAGTCAGGGTACTTTTGTCCTTCTAAATCATCCAGTTTTCCTACTCAAAAAAACAAAAAGTGGTATATAATCTCATTTTTGAAAATTATTAGCTATTGTCTAGGTGGAACAAAATATATCACAGCAAATTTATTTCTTACTCTCAGATTACTAATGAATACTATAGTTTTCTATGTTCAGCTGTTATGTAAGTGGGCCAGATTTTATGTATAGACAGGTTATAGCTTTACAGTTTGCATGGCTGCTTTAGGGCTTTAGAATATGTGTCACCGATCTCTGAACAGTTTCTATAGCAGGTCTGACAATTATTTTTATCGTGAAATCTCTGGAATTCAGTTCACACATTTCAAACAGGTTTCCCATTTTGGTGGGCTGCTAGATCTGAAACCAGTTGGTAACAGCTGTCTTTTTGATATTTTTTTTACTTCAGCTCCACCTGATTTAGAAGTTATTGTTAACAGTTAGTCTTTTGAGTATGAGGTTCAGTATTGAAAATGTTGAAAGGAGATTTAAGTTTGAAATGTCCATGCAGTTTGAGACTTCTCTGTCTTGACTTTGTTTTCTTTGATGTTGTTGAGTTGGTTCTTATCAGTAACTGTGCTCAGACTCTTCAGGGTACAATGTGTGCTCATATTCTGGGACTAGACTGCTCTCTTCCAGTAAGATAGAGAGTCATCATTAGTGGTTGTCATGCCGTGCTACACTCCAATCGCTGCTATTGTGGCATCTTGGACATAAGCTCCAGTACTTAAGTATAAAACGGTCTTTTCCCACCTGAATTTAAAGAGAAAGGCTTGGCAAGCCATCTCCTACAAGTTAAGTTATAGATTTGGGAACAGAACCAAAGATGGGGAAGTAATTGAAGCAGACCTATTACACAGACAGTGTATAGTCAGTGCTCAGGGGTGCAGTTAGGTTTCTGAGGAGAAAGGTTTTCTAGTGCACCCAGTCTGCTCTTTCCTGATAAGGTCAAAATATTTCTTGGGAAAAACTTTGAAAGAAGTTGACTTAGATAAAGAACAAATCGTCTTAGGCAGACTTGGTAAGAATATAGGTATTTAGGAATGTATTATCTGCTGAAAATAATACTAAAGATACTAATTTGTTTAATCTGATATATTTGTATAATTTATCTCCTGTCCTTCTTTATCATGCTTTGCTCTGCCAAGATAAAGTAAAAAGAAACATGAATTTATTTACACACAGCAGAACTAATATGTGAAGACTTGGAACAATATACACAGAGATCATAAAACATCTTCCTTCAAAATATGTTGCATTAAAATAGAAGCAAATAACAGGGATCAGGGATTTCTGTTCTTTCCAGTAAAACTGGATATGATAAATACTGACAGCAGCAGAGAAGTTATTATTAAATTATGAGAAGTTGAGTCTTCATAGTAGCAGCAATGGAGCAGCCAGTTGCAAAAGTGAATTTTCAGAAAATACTGACCTTCCAGTTGACAGTTGTCAGTCTGCATGTGGAAAATATGAAGAAATTCTGGTAGAGGACCACAGGACTATAGAGGAAGGTAGGCGTTAGCATAAGAAGCATCAGGGTGCTATTATGCTGGTCAGAAGTGGGTTAAAAGCTTGTTTTCATTTTTATGTGCAGATATGTTCTCTGAATTAGATCATGAGCTGGACATATTGAACAATTCAAGCAGCTCCAGTTCAAGTAATTTGAAAGGGTTTGCTATTGCTAATATGCTTAAAGAATTGAGTGTGCACTAATTTTTAGCAGCAAAGCAGTTGTTTATTCCAGAATATTAGGGTATTTCATTATTTGTTGCAAGTTTGTTATCTGTTGTTCTGTTGTGCTGCCTAAGTGAGGAAAATAACTGTGCCTCCGTGGCAGCCATTTCCAGTTTAATACATTTTGCATCTCATAGTCTTTTTGTAGCTTGTCTCTGTGTTTTGCAGTAACGTCTGTGAAAGCTGGAGTATTATCGGGCAACTTGACAAAGAAGGTGGGTTTAAATTTGAAGCCCTAAGATGACTAGTATTGATAAGAAACAGATGGAAGAGTTTGAAAAATAAAGTTGAAAGAGGCAAGCTTTAACTGTCTAGATGAATTCGCTGAATGGAACTGAAGGAAGGCTTAATAATTAGGACAGGATTATGTGATAAAACACAGCATTAATTCTGCTTATAGTTATTTATGGCAAGCAAATAGGAAAGCATCAGTTGTGTTGGGTGTTATCTTAAGTAACAGTTTTTTGGGATTATATTCCAAAGATGAAAATTTAAAAGGGAAAAACCAAAAAACTAGCTCTAAGTGCTTTGAGTGACTTGCTAAATTGTGAGCTACCATGGTATACCTATTAAAGGTGATGGGATTCTGATTAGAGAAAATCAAAGAGCATTTTATACTAGAAAAAAGAGATGGATATTAGAGTTGAGCAAAATTTAAGATTTCCATTCATCCCGTTTAGTTCTGAAAGAAAATTTGTGGATGATTTAAAATGTACTTTTTAGTAAAGGGAATGCAGTTGTGTGAAAATTAACAAATATTATTGGTACAAGGTTTCAGGCTTCAAAAAACATAGAATAACATTACTTTATCTGTTTGTAATCCTATTTGCTAGCTGGGTTTCCTTCGGGTTTTGGCCCAGGTAGTGAAGAAATATGACTGCTTTTAATTGAAATGTCTAGCCATTAGCTCAGGGCAAATAAATGATTTGATAATTCTACCTAAAATCCATTAATATGATTTGCTAATTGTAACTGGATAACCTGCCATTCTAAAGGCTGGAGGACTTGCGGCAGGCCAGCCCTGAGATTATTATCACAGTTTTTTTTGAAAAATAATAATTAAAAAAAGTACTTTGTTGCTTTCTTGTGCTAAGAGAGTAGTGGGAGAAGGCTACAGGATACAGGGAAGCCTAGTCTTAAATGCGGTAGGGGACCTGCATAAAAGGAATCCCTTGAAGAAAAGCAGGTTGCAGAGGAAAACATTTCATTTTGTGTTTATACTACAGAATAACACATTGTGTGTCTCACAGAAATGTAATTCATTGTGGGATAGTTCAGCATTGTACACGGGCATTTGAATCTTTGTAGTTTGTACCTTGCCACACCCAAAGCATTACTGGTAATGATTTCCTTGTAGTCTGTTTTGCTTGGTTGAGATCTGGACATTAACAAAACATCTGTTTTTTCTAATATTTGAATATTATGGTACCAGGTATTAAATATTTTAAGTGGAAAGATCCAGTCAGTTCCTGTCAATCCCAGTAACTTTAACCAGCATTTCTAGTCATTATTCATTTTTCTCCCACCATAGAGTTTAATTATTATATAGATACTTCAGGATTGCTTTTTCAGAAAAATAACTCTGTAGTCTTATGTTGTTATATCACCTCTAGTTTCTCCTTAATGTTGAAGTCAGTGTTGTATATCAGTTGTAATTAATGCTGGCAAATGTTTCTTCTTTTCAAGGATAAAGAAAAGATAGCTTTAAAAAAATAATTATAAATTCAGGATAATTGGGTATTACTTGGATTACACTCCATTCATTGCTAATAAATGGCTTACAGAATTTGAATGATCAGTCATGGTTTTTTCAAGCATGTCAGCATTGCAGGGGAAAATGTGACCAACTTTCATCTAGCTAACTTGGAAACTGCTAACATGAAGATGTGAGTTTTAGTTATGGGTATATTGATGAGGATCTTGAAAGGATTTGTCTAATCATGCTGTCATCACATCATTCTCAGAGTAAACATGATCTGCAACTGTAGAAAAATAACAGTCTAATTTTAAAACTAGGGTGGTATCTTGTAAGAAGGTGTGATATGCTGAGTTGTTCACTGGCACTGAAGCTGGTATTCATTTGACAGTGTAATAGGGCTAAGCTTTTTTTTATAGTCCACTATTGTCATATTTTCAATAATTTTACATACTCTGCTTTTCAATTATTGTTTAAGAAAAGGATTATTCTTCTTAGTCTAGACAATGTATTTCTACAAGATCAACTCCTTTAACTAATCCCAAGATGGCCAAATGAAGGGTGTATAGATTCTGGAAGAGTTGTTCCTGGTACCTGAAATGATTAATCCTACAGAAGTTCTGTGTATGTCAGAAGCATAGAGGCAGTAGTGACAGATGCATTTTTTTTTCCACCTGAAGTCCTATTAATTTGAAAAGATAAAGATTGACAGAGGGTAGGGCAATACTGAGTCAAAAAGCAATGAAGAGTGATGGGATGATAATAGTTTACTAGCTGCAGTTTTTTCTTATTTTAAAATTACAAGGTTCCCAACTTCACCTTAACTTAGACACATTTAAGGGGTTTTTAATTGCTTTTGGTTTACAGTGTAACTGTACCTTCATTTCTGCTGGTAAAACCAAATAGCAGGAAAATACCTGATGTGTCTAAATGCATAGAAGTCCAGTAGAGGTGGTACGTCAGTTGAGTGAGAGTTTAAAAATTTACTCTATGTTTTGGAATGGTTTATTTTCGAAAATAGGTTTTGTTTCCCTTAATCTTGTTCACTTACACTGCAATTGGGACAGCATCCTAAATACATTGAAAGACACTTCTGTGTTAAATGTTGTAAAGCATCCTCTTAGAAATTCTCTGACCTTCCTCACAATAAAAATGAAGCACGCAATAGATTCCTTTCAGAATTGCTCAGTCACCTGCTTTTTAGGAGGCTAAGAAGTCTCAATACACAGTTCTGTTTTGCTGCTGTACCTTGCTTAGAAGTTTTTCTGTTACCTCATAATTTAGTTTATGTTTTCAGTGTTTGGAGTAACCTCTGATCTAACTTGTGACCAATAAGCAAAGACATTGATATTCAGGATTCCTTTCCTGAATTTCTGCAATCCAATAGTATTCAGACTTACCATGTAATGAAGACACCACAGGTCTGCATGAAGAATATTCTAGTGATGTAACTGTAGAGTAACTCCTATATCTTTCTTTGAACTTTTAGAAATATGACTTGTTTACACAGTGCCAGGACTTGACTTTTGTGCATGTGATGCTCATATCCAGTTGAATAATTGGGGATTTCTAGAACTAGGATGCTCTCAAAATAGGAACTCTGTATGTTGTATGTGGCAAATGACTGGGCTCTGAGTTTAGATCATAACTTATCTTCACATTTAACTACTTTTGAGGATAACAAGGAACACTGTGAAATGAAAATCCCATTCAGTAGTGTTACTTGCTGTCTGGAATCAGTAATTTGGACTACTCTGCAGTCAGCTATCTTATGTTTTGCAAATTCTGTTATCACAGAGCTGAACTTTTTTTTTTTTTTTTTTTTTTTTTTGTGGCTCAGACCAATTGTATTTGATGGGTTTGATGTTTTGAGAGGATATTTCTTCTTTCAATGACGTGATTAGATAGTTTTGTAAGTCTTTGGAGTAAGATCATCTAACATCTACTATATATGGTTCTTTAGATTGTGAACTGGAAAGCTTAGGAAATTCCTTGAAAATTATTATTGCATCAAGAAAACAGCACAATGGGCTGTCTGTGAAGAACTTTGGAGATCTTAGTGTTTTGTTGGCTTGCTCTTCTCAACTTATCTAAGATTCAGATTTCTCCTGAGACCTTGGGCTAATGGGTCGTTGTAGAAAACATCAGCTAGAACATGATCTGCTGAGACCTGGTTTTCCTGTATGCTGCTGGAGTTAAGTTCAAAGTATGTTTATGTCAACTTCTCTTGCTGTACATGGAGTCTCCGTGAGAGAAAGAACTTAGTTGTTTGCTCTGCAAGAGGGCTTAATTAATGGGGTTGGGATTGTCCATTCCAGTGTACACTGATTTAAAGGATAGCTTACTAAGAGTATTTTGAACAAATAAAGGTAATTTGACCTTTCTCCTGAAAAGATCAGGAGATTTTTGTCATTCAAAAACCCACATCCTTTGCTTCCTTTTTGTTCAAAGAGATACGTTGAAGTTTCCTGCTGATATGAAATCTTGATTCATACCAGTGGTCCTACCAGTCTGATCAAACTTGGGAGGGTTTTCAGAGATTTTTTAGATAACATTGAAGTGAAAGTTAAAGCCAAAGCAAAAGTTATCATCTCCTCAGGTTTTTCTGATCGCATATCATGTTATAAGCTCTTCTCTTGAAATTAGATGGTTAGGTGCCTGCAAGAGCAAAACACTAAACTGCCTATTAAAAGATATTTTTATGATTTGCACTGATTTCAGTGCATGTTAAGAAATTAAAGCCTTAGAAGTTGCTTTTACATCAGCTATTAAAGACCAAAGTAGCAGTCAGGGAAGTTCTTTATGGCTCATTTAATTTTTTTTTTTTCAAATGTCCTCAAGGAATTTTCATAGAGCTATTCAGAATAGAGAGGTTGATGAGAATTTTAAAAGCTTTGGCTTTTGCATGTCTTTCACATTCTAACAAGAGTGGGCACAAAAGAGGAAAGAGGTGGAGGATGTGTATTTCATTTTCCTTGAGATCCTCACAAACTGAGAAATACCTTCTTGCAAGGCATTTGAACAAAACATATTGCCTTGTTCTTCCTATCCCTGTCAAAGGAGTAACCATGGTAAAAGGAA